AGTGAAGAATGCAACAGAAAATAGTAAGTAAAAAAAGATCATCTACAAATTATCTTAACTCAAACAATGGTTGGTATCGCAAGTATGTTATATCCTATTCAATAGAAATAAAACCCTTTTTGCTAGTTTAAAACGAAGCAAACCTCGTCTGGTTCTGAGCTGTACAGAACTTCCATACGTCTCTGATAAGAAACGTGTCTTGATTAATTATAGACAAATTTTTTCTGCCCATCCTCATTTTCACTGCTGATGCAGCCATGCTGATAATGAGCCGAATTAGCCCCAGAATTCTTAACATGTTGGTTTAGTCTTCATCACGCCCCCCACCCTTGGTTGAAACAAGGCGCCTGGCTGGGGATAAGAGGAAAAATGATTAAACTGATTTCATTCATTTAAGCCGAAAACTTGTTCTTCTTTTTGCCCATTTTACAGATGTTACCTTCAATAATATCGTTTCACTTGTCAAGTATCAGTACAGAATGAGAAGCACAGTCCCAGGACAAAATGTGTCCAGCTCCTACTCAAGTTATGTCATACTCGACGGCATTCCGCTACGTAAGCTCCAATCTAATCATAAACTTAACGATAAAACCTTCCATTAAATCATTTTTGCCCAAAAGTATACGCCAAGCTTCACGTAAACGGTGGGTTTTCAATATTTTACCATGGTTATTTCGCCAGTCATTGTCACACTACTCACAAATGCATAAGCAATAAAAAAGTTTAAGATATTAAAGGACTGGTGATTGAGTTTTCTCATAATTATATATATATATATATACTCGACAAATATTGCTGTTGTATATACATGCATAATTGTTTTTATTCTTTATCCGCTATAACGAACTAACTTGTTCATTCACAAAACCTTCGCCAGAAATGTTTAGGACTTCATAAGTTATTTATTTTTACTGAAATTTATTTATACCGAATAAATACATAAAATAGCTTTAATGCAATATACAATACAATTGTTCGTTATTATGTTTTTCGTAATGGCGGGATTTTTCCTCTGTAACATAATATATGCAACGTATACCCAATATATACGCATCATCCACTTGTATCTATATTTAGTTTACTGTTGGCATCAGCTTCATGGCCCTGTCGATGTAGATGTACAAACGCAAACATTGGGCACCAACCTTACAGGCAATTTTGCTGTTACTTCACTCTGACTGAAGGCTGGAAATATAGACATATTTCGAGTCCGTGAAGAAGGAATTAGCATTGTTAGCCGTTTTGAACTGCTTCGTGTTCCATTTGTAGAACAATTTAACTCAACTCTGGGCCTATCATCTGTATCATGTCTAAAGAGCAGACTAGACATCGCTTGTTAGTTAGAGAGTTTGAGTATATTCTTGCAATTGTCTAAAATGTGGTATGAATCAAAGACAGTAGAAGAGGTGTGGAAGGAGTCGTGCTACATGAAGTAGTCTCCTCCATCTCTCTAAATTAATCTCGTCTACCTGTCTGTCTTTCTATCTCTGTGTGTCTGTATGTCTGTGTGTATGTATGCTGACCCCTTATCATCAGCTCCCAGTGCTCCCAAATCTTTCGAAGTGCTGAACATCACCGCCACGTCCGCAAGCATCAGCTGGAAGTCGCCAGCTTCTCAGAATGGCGTGTCTTCTGGCTACCATGTGATGGTAACGCCGAACATGCCGAGCAAGTTCACGAAGATACAGAATATCACTGTTGGCGCTAAGCTGAAAAAATTTCTCATAACAGACTTGGCGCCCTGCAACGAGTACAACATATCCTTAGCCGGTATCACAAAGCCGGACTCGGAGAACGCTGGAGGCGGAGAGGGAATGGCCCTGGAGCTGACGATAACCACATCCACTGCGGGTAAGTTGCCCA